GTCTTCCCATAGAACCAGACTCAGTGAGGGCTTCAGCAGATGATGGCCCTGTCAGCCTATCTGGAGACTCAACAGTGACGCTTCCTTCTGACGGTGATGGAAAAGGGTTTGCTTTGGTAGAAACAGGTAGGCACTTTCCCAGTGAATCCATGTCTGTCAGTGGTAGACTGTGCTTGGAGGTTGCTCTGGTGTAGGGTTATCAGCAGGGGAACATCCATGCAGCTGGTTCACATGGCATCTCCAAACTTGTCCATCATCAATCTGGACTGTATATGATATGGTTCCTATGGCGCTTAAAATTTTAGATTGAACCCACTGTGGGCCTGTCCCATAGTTCCAAGCAAACAGAGTCTCTTGTGGAATGAAAAAAAAGTAAGGTACGAGATGCCAATGCAGAGTCCAGCTCCTTTTCTTTCCTTAACTGCATGTCTCTCACAAGGTCTGGGTTAACACGGTCAAGGCATGTCTTGAGACAATGACCCATAAGAAGTTCTGATGGGCTGGACCCTGTTGTGGGGCAAGGAATTACATGCTGAGCAAACAGAAATATGGCCAGTCTGGTAAGCCAGTCTCCTACAACAATCCTTTTCAGTGCAACTTTTGTAGTCTGCACCGTTCACTCAGCTTGCCCATTGGCCTGTGGCCTACGAGGTTCAATGGTTACTGTGGGGGAGGAAGGGAGCAGGGGGTCCCTGGAACCCCACCACCCGGAAATAACCCATCCGGGTTACGCCCCCCGGCCCAAATTGCCCAGCCGGGCACCCTCACGCTCCACAGGTGCGGCCGGGGAAGAAGCCTCGAGGCAGTTCTGGTCCCTATTAAAGGGACGCCGGAGTCAGCTGGCAGGGGGAACCCGGAAGGCGGCGGCGGCGGCGACGACGAAGAGGGAGCCGTCGGGAGCACCCGTGCGTGGGGAGAGACAGCCGGCCGGTGCGGGAGGACCTTCTGGGGCCGGGGGAAACACCAAGGGGACCCGGGAGCTGAGGAGCAGCAGCCGCACCGCGGATACAGACGGCACGGAGAACGGCTCGGCTCAGGGAGAGCCGGTGAGACATATTCTTTTGAATAGAGGGGCACTCACAGCAAAGACAGCGAGATAGCCATGTCCGAGAGGGGCTCGGGGACTGTGCAAGCCCAGGACCAGATCTGGCGGTGAGTACAGCCTGAACCGGGGGAGGTAAACCCACGCCGGACAGGGAAAGACCGGAGAAGCCGGTAAAAGGGACAGATAACCTTTGGGCTCCGGGAATCCCTGGCCGGGAGCATTCAGTTGTTTTGTTTTCTCTTTGATTTCTGCCCCTCGGACGTGCCCTTGGTGACGAGAGGGACGCAGGCAGCCGAGAGACTTGGAGGTACAGGCGAGGGTGTAGGGGCGGCGGAGCCCTCGACAACGTGGGACCCCTGAGGGATTGGAGTCTCATTTGTGGACTGGTACGCCCCCGGATTTATATTACTGAACCAGTAGATTATCAAAGTCGTGGCAGGCGGTTCGGAGGAAACCAGCCCACAAACGAGCCGAGGGAGGAGGAACACCTCAGGGACGGTCCTTTACCAAGACAGGCGGAGGCATCAGCACGGAGGGAAGTGACCGGCACAGCGCTACCCTTGGACAGTAACATTTCAAATGAGGTTGCAGCTGGCAAAATCTTGGAACTCTGCTGAAGTGAATGTACTTTCATTATCAGAAACAATACTGTTGGGAACCCTATGGGTTGCAAACAGCTAATGGAGAGCTATTATAGTGGCAGCTGATGTAAGAGTTGAGACAGTAATCACTTCAAGCCATTTTGAGTATGAGTCAACAACAATTAAGAAGTTCTTACCTTGAAAAGGGTCAGCAAAATCAATGTGGATGCGTGACCAGGGTTCCTTTGTCATTTCCCAAAGGAATACTGGTGCCTTCAGTGGATTATGACAAGTTGCTTGACAAATGCTGCACTCCCTCACAACCCTTTCTATGTCATTGTCCATACCTGGCCACCATGCATAACTTCTAGCCAGCATTTTCATCCTCACAATGCCTGGGTGTGCTGTGTGCAGTGATGTCAGTATGATTTGGTGTCCTGCTTCTGGAATTATGACACAATTTCCCCACAAGAGGCAACACTTGTGGGCAGACCACTCCTGCTGACATGATGAAAATGGCCTGAATTCCTCAGCCAATTTGTCTGCAATCCAGCCCCTCCACACCCAGTTGAGGACATGGGCAAGAATAGGGTCTTTTACAATCATCCTTGCTATCAGATCAGCCTGAAGTGGGGCATGGATTCTAGCATGAGGACTTCCACTGGTGGAGGAGTAGCACAATCAGGTATTTGTAGTGATAGGCAGCTCAATGCATCAGCATTTGCAATCATTTTCCCAGGTTTGTACTCAAGTGTATAGTCATATGCATTTAGCATGACGCTCCAGCATTGCATGTGGGGAGACAAAATAGTTGTTTTGTCCATAGTAAAAATTCCAAAAAAGGGTTTGTGGTCTGTTTGGATTTTGAATTGCGGCCATAAACGTAATTGTTAAATTTTTAACTCCTGCAATGATTGCCAATGCTTCTTTATCAATCTATGTGTAGCTCCTCTTCGTTGAAGTCACTGTTCTTGAGTAAAAAGCAACAGGTGCATCTGTGCCATCAGGCAATGTGCTCCTGAGGACAGCACCAACACCAAACAGCAAAGCTTCACAAATAATGGACAGTGGCTTCTGCTCATCATAGTGAACAATGACAGAGTCTGATGTCAGCAATTTCCTGACGCCCTGGAAGGCTTCGTTGTGCTGGCAAGTCCACTTCCAGTGAGCTTCTTTATTCAATAAGCAATGAAGGGGCTCTGCTATGGTGGCTCTGTCCTTCAAGAAAATGTGATAAAAATTGGGAAGGCTTAAGAATGCTTGAAGATCCTGTATGCATTTTGGTATAGGGGCATCATGTATTGCTTTTACCTTGTCTTCAACTGGGTGAATGTCAGAAGTATCAATTTGATATCCCAGAAAGTTGATACTGGAAACTCCCAGTTGACATTACCCTCTTTTTACTCTGATATCTGCTTTACAGAATCTCTGTAAAACTTCTCTGAGTCTCTCAGTGAGTTTCTCTTTAGATGGTCCCATGATCAACACATTGAAGTATGGAACAACCCTGGGAGTTCCTGCTAGCATTTTCTCTATGAACTGCTGGAAAATTCCTGGTGTCACAGAAATTCCAAATTGGAGGCGCTTGACATGGAACACTCCCCAGTGTAATTACTGTTTGGTCCTCAGCAGCCTTGTCATCCACTATCAATTGCTAATAGGCTTGAGTGAGATCAAGTTTAGCAAAAACCTTCTTTCCTGCAAGAACTGGTTAATGGCAGGGTGTGAGTCCTGCTTAGGTGCTTTATTAACAGTGGACTTCTAATCCCCACAGATGCAAACACTACCATTAGGTTTTAAAACAAGAACAATTGGTGTGGCCCAGCTTGTATGTATGATTGGTTCGAGGACCCCTTGCATGATAAGCCAATCTAATTCTGCATCAATTTTCGGCCATAGTGTAAAAGGTACATTCTGAGCCTTCATAACGATACAGGCTATCACAGGATTCATTTGGAATGTCACAGGTGGACCTGAGTAAGTTCCTAATTCCTCGGAGAATACCTGAGGAAACTCCCATGTAAGGCTTTCAGGACTTTCTGTGCAGAACCTGTGTACGCCTTGAATACTGATTCCCAATGGTGAGAACCAATTTTTCCCCAAAAGACTTTTGCAGGAACATTTAGTGATAATGATGGGTAGTGATAATGATGGGTGTCTAACAGATCTATACTGGACATTAGGGCTGTGTGAAGCTTTGGTCCCTGATTTGATTTGACGGAGATTCAGCCCATTTCGGTGGCCAAACCTCTGAATCTGAATTGAATCAGAGGACCCTTTATTCTCTCTGATTCAAATCGGCACCCTTCAAATTGACTCAGAGAGATTCAGAAAGATTCGGAGATTTGGACATAGAGACAGCTTTAAATGTTTTTTCTACATATCTCTAGGTAGCAGGGGCTCATGAGTGCTGCAGTGCTGGGGTGCATGGAGTGTCCAACAGAAGCATGGGGGACTCCCCAGTGCGCTTAGCAGCAGACCTGGAAATGGACCTGAACTTCCAGTCCACTTCCGGGTCCACCATGAAGCATGCTGGGGGGGCCCCCATGCACTCTGGCTCAGTGACTGGTGCCTTCTGGGTCTGGGTGGGGGGCACCCAGGGTTCCCCTGAAGCAGACTTGCTCTGTCTTTGACTTGACCCAGTCCAGTCCTGTGGAGAGAGAGAAACCAAGAAAACCTCTGGCTCCTCATGGCAGAGAAAATGGAGTCCCCAGTGCTGTGAAACTGCCACAAAGCAAACTGAACCATGCAGTGCTGAACACGAGGGCTTTGGCCTTAAAGAGGCAGTATAAGGAAAACACAATAAGACATAACACTTTTTAATATGTGAATCCCAGAACTGCACACAGTACTCTAGTTGAGGCCTAACCAGTCCCAAATATAGAGGCACTATCACCTCCTATGTCTTGCACCTAATGCTTCTATTGATGCAGCCCAAAACTGCATTTGCCTTTTGTGTGACTGCATCACACTGCAGACTCATATTATTTCTGTCATTGACAAGGTTGTGACTGGCAATGAAACATCTCCCATTTTAGTGTTCACTATTCAAGAAGAATATTGACAATTTGGACATGTTTTAAAAGGGCCATAAGAGCAATTAATGAATTGGAAAATATGCCTCACAGAAAAACTCCAAGAGTTCCCTCTGTTTAGATTACCAAAAAGTGGGCTTAGGGGTACCCTGATCACCATCTCTAAGTACTTACATAGGAACACATCTTTGATAATGAACTCTTAAGTCTCACACTTAAAGGCATAAAAAGAACTTACAGCTGGAACTGAAGCCAAACACAGTCAGATTAGAAGAGGCAAATGTTTATAATAAGGACAATTAACCATTGGAACAATTTATTTTAAAGAAGGATTCTTACCGTATCCATCATAAGGAATGCCTGCTTCAGTGAAGAATATGCATCTTGGATGTGCCTGCACAACTTTAGAAAAACAGTATCACTTGAGAAAACTTCAGCTATTTTTCTCACTGGGTTTACTCTACAGCAAGAAAAAGAATGATCAACAGAACATTTTAATGGCTCAACCTCTTATGCCTTTGAGTAGAAGGAATACATAAACTCATTAAGGCATGGGTGGATGTAGAATTTCAAAAGGAGGATATAGTTGATGTGGCACAACATCACATATAACACAGCATATATCTTATTCAGTTAAAGAGAAACCAGAAACTTTACTAATATATTCAGGAGGTAGCCCTATATTATTCAGTTAGATCAAAGCATTGAAACATGCACTAATTTGCTAGATTATATATACAGTATTTTTTTTAAAAGCCCACAACAAACTAGGCAAAAAATAGTCAAAAGATTTTATGCCATTAGTCCTGTAGTCATTATAGTTAAACACCTGCGTCTTATTCAGATTCATAAAACAAAATCTAGACTTCTTGAGCATCTTCTAGTGCCTTTAATAATAATTCACTGTCAGTCATGTCTACACCTGAATTTATGGTTTTTAGCCAGAGCTAAGAAAGGTCTGCAGGGCTGTGAAATAGAAAAGAGACATTACCAGGAATGGCTAACAGACAGCAAAATTGCAGAAGAAAGGATAGTTTGAATAGTGGAACATCAAAATCATTAAAAAGGATAGAGAGTCATTAACACTTGTGGAGTGGAGAGAGATTAGTAAAAATCAGGTAGATGACAATGAGCCATGAAGTCAATTAGCCAGTGTTTAGCCCATGCATCCCAAACTTTTCCTCAGTGTGACCCCATTTATGACCCCATTTCCTCAGCATGGCCCCTCACTCCACACCCACAGCCCCTCACCTTGCCCCAGGTGTCCCAGGGCTGGGGTCCACAGCCCCCCCACCCACCCCCAGCAGCGCCTAAGCCCCAGCTGATACCCATGGGAGGCAGCAGCTGCTGCAGCTGGAGTGGAGCGCAGAGCCTGGCTTCCCCACCCTCCCTGGATAGAACTGCTGGAGTGGAGCCTATGTTGGGGAGGATGTGGGCTGCCCACTGCAGGCTTGGGACTTCCCACCCTGCTGCCCTTTTTCCCCCCCAGGGGCTCTGTGGCCCAGTGGGCAGGACCCAACATAGGAGGGAGGGAGTCCTGCACCGTGCCATGCTGCCATGGCTGCCAAGCTGAGGTACCCCCTGCTCACCCAGCAGCAACATGGGCACAACTCTGCGCCACTGCTGCTGCCATGCCTCACCTTGGCAGCCATGGTGGTGCGGCACTCCCTCCCACAATGGGTCCCAGCCGCTAGGCCACAGAGGCAACTCCTGGTCTGCCTTGGCTGAAGCTCCACACCCTGCTGTGGACACAGAAATCTCAGGGGGAATGTTTATTTCAACCCCATCTGAGGATGCTGCAACCCCATTTAGGGTTGTGACCCACAGTTTGGGAACCACTGCTTTTGCACTGCCTGAAATACTACTTCTCCTCCCAGGCAGTTGGTTTTAAATTTTGGTGGAGCAGGAATAAGTGGTGGGTTCAACTGAACCTCTGCACCCCCCTCAGATCCAGTCATGCATTAAAGCTAAGAGCTTACTTAGATGCAAAAACAGTTTATACATTTATATGGTAATGAGATTGTTCCTAAAAAAAGGTCATTTGAACTAAATTTAAGCAACAGCATTCAGTAAACATAGTTTTTCTATCCTCAGTATACATTTATACTGTAGTTTAATCAGCTCTCACACAAAAATGGAACCTCCGACTTACCTACGGTTTTTTCTTATAGGAATTGTCTGTCCATTTTCAGAAGTCACAGGATCCTGGAATTTCTCTAAAAATTGCTGCCAGGCATTTTTTCCTGTGGCTTTAAATTCAAATCTGGTCAAGGAAAAATAGAAAATGGTATTAAAAGTTCCTCTTTTATAAATACTCTTCTATGTTTCTCAAAATTATTCTTAAACTATAACAGAAATGTATACAATACTGAAATTTAGTGTGAACCTGCAGAATTTACAGTCTTACAAAAAAGTGAGTCAAATTTCTATGATAAATTATGGTCAAATTCTCTTCCCAGTATCATCAGTCTTAGAAGACCTAGACATTTTATTTATGGTTTCTTTAACCATCATGAGGGTTTAACAGCAGAGAAAATCCAGAGATGGGCAGAATTAAAATTCTGATCTGACCATTCTGGTTTAATCCAAGCCTGAAAAACTTCCAAAGTGTTGAAAATGTGAAAATGCTTTCAGAAGCCACTAAGAGCCAAGTCTGTCACCCATTCTTAGGTTAAGTGAAACCTTAGGCTGTGTGTAGACAAAACAAGGGGCATGTGTGTACGACACTTTAAAGTGGATTAAAACATTTTGCACTGCTTTAGTGGTGTTGATTTTTGCACATGTCGGCAGTGTATTGCACAGTAGTTCCAGCTTCTGTAGCAAATTCGGCAGTGTAATGCACCTTGAATGACTTGGGGCACAGCAAACTAAAAATCCTCCATGAAGCAAAGCACCGGGCTCTGTGCAACTCAAGGGCTCTGCAGGAAGCCTGTGCAAGCAGCCTGGCAGGAGCCCAGGAAAGCAGGCTCCACCCAAGAAAAAAAAATGTGGCAATCTTTTTTTTTTTCCCCCTGGAGCCTGCCTGCCTGACCCAGTGCTTCCCTCCACAGCTGCAGAGCCAGGTGCCAGGTACTTAAAGGTGGGTGCTACCTGGGGTCTGCCGCTGCTGCTATGGAGGAAACCACCAGTCCCTCCCTGCAGCCCAAGGACCGCTCCTCCCACTGGCATCTCACCCTCCCCTCCCTGCCGCCAGAGAGTCAGGTAAGTGCACGGGTGTGTGCACAACACGGGAGTTTACCTGGCCCTAAATTGAAACCGTGTTTTTAAAAATCCACCACTTCAATTTAGTTGCCCCATTTCATCTACACACACCCTTATTTCATTAGTAGCCCCTGTGAACTCAGTAAGGGCCTGACTTGTGCCTCAGGTATAAGCATAGCTTCCTTTTAATTTCAGTAGTGCAAGAGTTGCCCTAAGTGTAGGAAAAAAGAAAAGCTTTAAGTTAGATATCCTACATAGACTAGTCTGTCATTAACCGAAATGTAGTGATTTGCTGCTTCTTAAAATGGTGATATATCCTGTGTAGAACATGGGTCATCAAGAATAAAAATAACAAAATAAAATAAGATGTAATTAGAACTATGTTTAGTGCAAAGATTTTATAAGTCCCACAAAAAAATCTTCCATTGCCAAAACTCTGCAGCAGTTTATTGAGCTTATCCAATGAAATAACAAGACACAAGAATTACCTCATCAGAATAATCAAAACATGCTGATCAAAACCAGCACACACTTCCTAGCAAGTTGAGAAGCTGCCTTTTCCAAATTATTCTGCTTATGGGTGCCATATACATACAACAATTCAGTGGTCCAAGGGAAAGTTTATTCAAAAGGCAGGGAGGAAATAGTTTGATAAACAATTGTCTGAAACAATCATCAGATATGAAAAAACAGACGATTTTTAAAATGAAAGCCCAGACAACAACTGCTATTTTGAACCCCCAGTTGAGATGTCTTCTGTCTCAAATTTCTGTGATTCTACTAAATCTCCCAAAACTATGCTGTAGAGAGTAATTCTGCATTGGAAATAAGTCAATGCCTGGTCCATGTAATATCCCCTGAGATTCACACACAATGAAGACCTCTCCATGTATATTCCTCCCTGCTCCTTTCCTCAACACTGTGTTTACTCAAACCTTACAAAGACCAATTGTCTTTTGGGAGATGGGAAGAACCTTGAAGGAGCAGAGTCAGAGCACCTGCAGCAGCATGGAAGTTCAGGATTATTATTATATATGTGTACTACCATAACTCTTTAAGAGACCAGGAACTTTGATGGCTACCTTCTTGAGGCACAGTGGAAAACTCCAATCCCAGTTGGATCTGATAGAATCATTGTCAATTAATTGTGAACAAGGTGCAAATGTTCTTCCAGTTCTGTGTTCATGTGTTCCTCTCATTAGGATCATTGCCTACAGAACCTCTTGCCAGGTTCTACCATAGGAGGGAATAAACAGGATCCTGAGAAGTAACCACTATCACAGACTCCTATCCACTTCCATGAGAGCAGCATACTTGTCAGGGATTGGTCCTGACTAGTTAAAAGGATTTGTCATCTCTCTTTAATGGGAAAAATTCTGAAATAGCTTGCTTAGACAAAGGATAAATCACTGAAATCTCTAGAGGTAAGTCTGAGTGAAGCCTTCAGTATTTGATACTATTATAATATGGCCATACCATGGCTACTTGCTCCACTGCAGGAGCTGGGTCTGGATGTGGGCCACAAGGCTAAGGGAGTTTGTCACCCTGCTGTAGGCCATAGTTTATTAAATTAATTTTAAAAAAATTCTCATCTATACAGTTTTTTAAAACACCCCTTTAATTATGCCCTCTAGTAATTGCCTAGAAAAGAAATTTTGTAAGAAGGAAGAACTTGATTGATGAGTGTTGTAAAAGGATGAGTATCTGGTAAAGCCATGTGGTTTATGGTCTATTAGTGATCTGTTACAAAATTCTATATATTTAAGAATGTTTAAGCACCATTGCCTTAGCATCTGGAATCCCTACAAATCACAGAAATCAAACACTAAACTCACAATAAAGAATAGCTTAAAAACATCCAGAGCTCTTCAATGAGTTTTTTGCCTCTGTATTCTTGAACTCTGATCTAAACAAATCTCCCAAATGCATTACTGACAGAAGCCAAAGAAACAACAGCCCACCAACTGTCAGCACTGACCTAGTAAAGAGACACTTGGAGGGGCTGGATGTGTTTAAATCAGCGGGACTGGATGAGCTCCACCCAAGGGTGCTGAAAGAATTAGCCAGTGTTATAGCAGAGCCACTGGCACAATTGTTTGAGCACTTGTGGTGTTCAGGTGAGGTCCCTGAGGACTGGAAAAGGGCCAATGTGGTTCCTATTTTAAAGAAGAGGAGGAAGGAGGATCCAAGTAACTATAGGTCAGTTAGCCTCACCTCTACCCTTGGGAAAACCTTTGAAAAAATTATGAAGGATCACATTTGTAGGAGTCCAGTGGGTAATATAATGCTGAAGGGCAACCAGCATGGGTTCATAGCAGGTAGATCCTGCCTGACCAACCTTGTTTCTTTCTATGACCAGGTCACTAAAAGCTTAGATGCAGGTGTTGAGGTAGCTGTCATCTACTTGGACTTGAAGAAGGCCTTTGACATAGTATCCCATCGTATTCTTATAAACAAACTGAACGACTGTGCCATAGACGGTTACACAATCATGAGTGGCAAATTGCCTTAAGGGTCATACCCAGAGAGTGGTGGTGGATGGGTTGGTATTGACCTGGAAAGATGTGGGCAGTGGGGTTCCCTAAGGTTCGGTCTTTGAGCTGGTGCTGTTCAATATCTTCATCAGCAATCTGGATGTGGGCGTGGAAAACACTCTGTTCAAGTTCGCAGATGACACCAATCTATGGGGCAAAGCAAACATACTGATGGGAAGAAACTGAATCTAAGTGAACCTGGACAGATTAGAGAAGTGGGCAGAGAAGAACAGGATGCAGTTCAACAAGGAAAAGTGCAAGGTGCTGCACCAAGGGAGAGGGAATCACCAGCACAACTATAGGTTGTGCTGGTGACTCTCAGCAGCACAGTGGCAGAAAGAGTCATTGTAAACTTCAAGATGAATATGAATCATCAATGTGATGAAGCAATTAGCAGAGCTAACCACACTTTGTCATGCATTAGTAGGTGCATCACGAACAGGTCCAGGGAGGTGATGTTGCCCCTCTGTGCAGCACTGGTCAGGCTGCAGCTAGAGTACTGCTTCCAGTTCTGGGTGCCACAATTCAAGAAGGATGCGGACAACCTTGAGAGGGTCCAGAGGAGGGCCACTCATATGGTTAGAGGCCTGCAGGGAAGGCCTAATAAGGAAAGGCTGAGAGACTCGGACCTTTTCAGCCTCCGCAAAAGAAGGCTGAGGGAAGATCTTGTGGCAGTATATAGATTCACTGCAGGGGGCCTTGGAATAACCAGACACAGGAGCCACAAGCTGATGGAGAATAGGTTTAGGTTGGACATCGGAAAGAAATTCTGAATGGATGGGCTTCCAAGGGAGGTGGTGCTCTCCCCTACCTTGGGGGTCTTCAAGAGGTGACTGGACAGGCACCTGGCTGGGGTCACATGACCCCAGCACTTTTTCCTGCCACTGGCAGGGGGTCGGACTTGATGATCCTTTGAGGTCCCTTCCAATCCTAGCATCTGTGAATCTAGCATCTATGAATCCCCGCTGCCAGGAAACATCTGAAGCTAAACTGCCCCCATATTATCAAACTGATACTAAGTTCACTGAAAGCCTGACCAAGTAAGAATGATGATTTACATCATACCCTGAATGAAAGCCACCAAATGGGGGTCTAGTAATCTACCAGAGAAACAAGTTTCATAACAGAGAGCACTCCATTGGGAAAACCCCAAGTGGTCATGGAAAGTTTGCTGCTTGAAATAAATAATAAGAGCATCCTCCTCTCAGACTTTTTAATTTGTCAAGGGGGACAACAAATGGCAAATATACAAAATGAACACAGGACACAAAAATACTAGCCACACAGGAAAGCTGAACTACAATGGGTTTCATTCCTTCTACATAAATAATTCTTCCTACAACCAGGGGTTCATGAAGTTTTATGTCTGATATAAAGAATTTTCAAAAGTAAAAGTGATGGGACACAGAATTTCTGTGGAAAGTAGGCAATTTGGGACTAAACCGAGGAACATTTTTAAATGAAGTGCACGTGAGTGATCTGCTGACAATATATTTATCCCAGCTGCAATTGGGATGTAAATGTGAGAAATGTGTTCTTAAATAATCTAGTCTTGTGCAATGGGAAGATGAAATCTTAGCAGATGTCCATGAACTTTAATAGGCCCAGCATTTCATCCCATGGGTTCATGAGATGCAGATATCTAGCACAACTATAAAATGCTGTCATCTGTCATTTTTACAGGCAGTTCCATGCCCTATGTAAATGACTCAATATTTAACTGTGATCTTAAACATCTTTAAATCATACCAAAAATGGATCAATTACTGTTATCTTCATCACAGGTGACAATGAATTGAATATATCTGTCTCTTCATTATTAGAGCAACATAACTTTGTTGTTATTCTATTCATGCTTGTGAGCTCTGGGGCCTTACATGTTGCACGGCCTGTTGGGTGCGCAGCCCTGCCCTCCAACTCATCTGCCATGACTTTGATGTTAAACAATCAAGAGAGGGGGTTCAGTGGAGATCTTCCTGGGAGAGCCTCTCAACAAACAGCAGTACTCACGATTGTTTGTTGCAATGTTCCATGGGGCTCTGCCTTCCCTACACCCCATCCACTTCCCAACTGGATATTTGCTCGTAGAATGGGGATATCTGCCCTGCGGGGGTTGCCCACAGTTTGCTTTAGGTGGGGTCCCACGTCGGCATGGACACAGATGGCTCTCCTCCCTCCGGCCTAGAAGCACGGCCCGCCTTCTCTAGGCTTCTTGATTTCACCTTTTTTTCTTTTTGGGTTTTTTTTTTTCAGAAGAAATACTCCCCTGAGGAGGAGAGGGCTATGGAGCTGCCTCCTTGATCCCAGCCTCCTCCAGGGGGCTCAAATGCCTCCTCTGCTCTGCTCCCTACAGGGAGCTTAAATGCTTCCCTTAGGTTGCCTTCAGCAGGGAGCTGGAGGGCTTCCCCTGCTCTGCCTCCTGCAGGGGGCTCAGAAGTTTCCCTGAATGGCCTGTGGGAGCCGCAGAGGCTGTGCCACTCCTCTTCCATGCTGGAGCCTCAGCACATCTAGCGAACTGCCCACCAGCGCTCTCTCTTCCCGGCTCACCCCCCACCCTGGTTCTGGCGGGGCTTTTAAACTTTCCCACGGCGGCCGGTATGGCCCCCGCAATTGGTCCAGCTGTTCCCCACTTGGGAAACAGCTGATTAAACAGCCGGCGTAACACCAGTGTAATGCTGGCTTGCGCGGCTGCGGCTGTGGCTGTGGTCCCAGCTCCTGGTCTGGCTGCCCGGCAGGGGGTAAGTCACCCCTGCCAGGTGTCTGTTTCCAGGGTTTGGGTCCCACGGGGGTTACCCTCTCCCCAGCGGAAGCCTGTGGTGGTGCCTCACTGCCACAATGCTCATGCATCTTTTGAATTACATTATCTGAGAAATATGATCTGAAGGATATGGTATACGTAGTCTTGAACATTTCTGCTTATAGCATCATTAAAGTGACACTATATTTTTCCAATGCCAAGAGAAGGCTCTAATGGAAAAAATACATGTAGAAATCTTTCCATTATGTGACTTCATTTAAGAGCAAAATTTACTTTAAGATTTAAACTAGCAAATTACATGAATTGAAAAAACTGTGATAGCAATTTTTTGACAAATAGTTGATCGTTGTTATCTCACACTGTGAATGACTAGAAGCAAATCAGATTTATCTGTTAAATGCACAAAGCAATATGGTTATTGCAGATGATATTCTCATACAGCACCTGCTGCTATAAAATGTGTATCTGCAGTGAGGTCTTTGCAGTTAACTAATGCATAAAAAAAAATCCAGATTTTTTTCATGGATGATCCTTATTTTATAAACACATGAGTTTATATATATAAACTATAAATTATAGAATCTTTGTATATTTTTGTTCCTGCATTACACAAAACCTGTTTGCTTTGTACCACTGCTTAACACTGAAGTAATATCTGTTTATATTAAGTTAGAGATTTAATGCAAGTGTTACATTTTCTCTTTTCTTTCTTTGATTAGCTATTTGACTTCAGTACTGTTTCTGTGAGCACAAAGGATCTTCTGGCTCCCTGCTTTTTGAAACTTTTGGTCTCAGTGCAACCAGGGGTCCCAACTAAAACAAAATATCACAACAGTGCCAATTTCTATACCATCTTAGCTTTAAACATAGCCTGCTCCCTTTGAACTTGAACTAGCTCCAAAGACTTAAGATTTTTGGAAAATGTACTTTAATCCAAGTCAGACCTTTAAGATCAGACTGGTTCCTAGATCATTTTAAACTCCAAGCTCATAACTGGACTACCTGAGTTCTGACCATAATGCTGCAATGAGGTCTGGCTCACCTTAATTAGTACATGGGTTTGAGACTAGGTATGGTCTTGATTTCCTTATCCTCAAACAATTTCAGGTTTATTTTTTGCAAAGACAGCTCTCAAATACAAAAAGTTTGATCGGGATTTAAATTAAATTGAAATGCCCAGATGTATCACCACACCTGCCATCTACCCAGGTTTATCATATTCAACTAATGATTAACACAATGTAGCTAAAACAAAACATGCTATTATGTTTCTTTGAATGTGATTGAACTTCATGAACTCATTTTTGTTAAAGAGGACTGCCTTTAAAAAGCACTGTCTTGAGGATTCACATAGGAAAGGTGTTGTCTTGGTGCCAATACCCATCAAGCTGCTCTCCCAATAAATCCATGTCTTCCCATATTTTTGGAGTACAGCAAATAGCAAATTAATTTTACATTTTTAAAAAGCAAGATTCAAATGCTTTTTTGTCAAGATGTAGCCAAGCTGAAATGAAACCTTTGGAGGCATCAGCACCTATATCTTATTCCTAGTTAACATATGTAATTGCCAAGTATGTCAAAATATCTCTTGCTGTGGATTGTGGGCAGCAGTCTTTACTCTGAGGGTAGATGTTGCTAAAGCAGGCTAAGATTCACAAGCAAATTTTACGTTTTTCAGGAGAGAGGTAATCTTCAACTTTATTCTTGCATAACATACAGTGGTTCATGTTTAACAAAGAAATAAGTAATAGAAGTAAGAAAAGTAATTAGCAAAAATGTTCATACTTAAAAGTTATTTGGATAACTCCCAAATATTGAAATCTGAAAGCTTGACTATGAATATTCCTAGGAGTAAGTGTTAGGAGTTATTTTTCTACAAAGTCTATGATGATGGTGATGAATATTTGTATCCAGTAACATCCCTTTAAAATGTCACTATTGATTTGAATGGAAGCTACTCACACTCCCTGTAGGAAATTAAATATAAAACTACCAACCGGGGAGGAAAGGTGGGGGTGCGGCACTCTACATTAAGGAGGAATACACATCCTCATCAAGTAGCACAGGGGCACACTGAAGTGCTCTGGGTTAGAATACAAGGCAGTCAAAGGGAAAGGGACTTAATGGTGGGGGCCTACTACAGACCACCCAACCAAGTGGAAGAGCTAGACCAGGAATTGGTCAAAAGACGTGGTCATCATGGGTGACCTGAACTTTCCAGACATCTACTGGGAAAAGCAGTCAGCCAGGTCTGACTGCTCATGAAGGTTCCTAGCCAAAATGCAAGACCTCCATCTAACCCAAGAGGTGCACAGCCCCACCAAGGGAGACGCCTTGTTGGACCTGGTGCTGGCCACGGGCGACGACCTGGTGAGGGGGCTGCGGGTGCTCGACCACCTGGGCGACAGTGATCATCACCTGCTGGAATTCACCATCCAGCGCACGGTGGCAAAGGCCTGCAGCACGGCAGAAGCCCTAGATTTCAGGAGGGCGGACTTCAATGAACTAAGAAGAATAGTTGGGGAGGCACTGAGGTCCCAGAAGAGAGGGGACACCTGACACGGCTTTACAAGCACTCGTGGTGCTCTGGTGTGGTGCCAGAGGACTGGAAGAGGGCCATTGTGGTTCCCATCTTCAAAAAAAGGAGGAAGGAGGACCCAGGAAACTATAGACCAGTTAGTCTTACCTCGATCCTGGGTAAGCTATTTGAGAGAATTATTCTGGCACATGTCCACGAGGGGCCAGTGGGGGAGGTTATACTTAGGGGC